TTAATATATAATAATACAAAATAGACATATGTATATGCATGTACATTTGTACAGATATGAATGTATTCAGGCAACGTCAACTTTGTACTCAACTTCAGCTTGTTCACATGGAATAAAGACTAAAGTCAATGATCACTACCAATGATAATGATGTCTGATGATCAGACGGTAACTACGGACAAGGATCGTGCAACACGTGAATAAGAATATGGATCATTTTTAATAATAACTATTGATCATTTCCTTCTTCTAATCAGGTAGTTCTACTTCATATGAAAACAGGTTTCAGTTAATGCATAGCAATTATATATGCACTACATTTCAAAGAACAATCGTGAAGTTTGCGTATAGCAAAATGATATTGCTATAAATAAATGAAAGTGTCCAATGTGATTTATAAGCAGCCTTCAGCACCAGTTGACAGCTATTCATCGGGCTGATTGCAAATGAGATGAAATGAAATGTGCTTAAGAGCTATGAAGACCGGTTGTTAGCTTACTTAAAATGCTAGCCTAAGTAGATTGCTTATGTAAAACAAAAGCTATATATTAATTACATTACATTTATATGAGAATAAATCAATTATCTTATATCAATCTATATTCCCTTAGAAGGAAAATTATATATTTTGTCATAAGCTAGATTATTAAATATTATATATTTTGTCATAAGCTAGATTATTTATTTATTTAATGTTATATTCCTTGGAAATTTAAAAACTGTCCATGTTTCAATCCTACATTATTTTAATACTCAAGTTATATATTTAGAGGTCGTTAAAAAAATAGGTGAGAGAGATAATAATCCATTAAAAATTACTGGAATCCGAAGAATTATTGGATCTGGCAGTCAAGCAGTCTCGACTAATGCACTCTTTTTTGCTCCATTTTAATTTAGTCAGCAATCATAAACAGTTATATGAATGCAAACTGAAATTAGAAATTTCAATATGAATTTAGTCAAGAGCCGTGTCTACATTAAAACGAAATCATGCAAATTTATGTGACGTTAGGAAAATTATTGCATATGATAACACTGCATCGTTTTTTTTTTTACAAATTAGTTTTTAGCTATCTAAAAGTTTATAAAGGTTCAAATTAATTAACCAAGCTCTGAATAGATGAGCAATTAGGTAACTTTAGTAATCTAAAGTAATTTAAAACTGCTGTTCATAAATTGTATCATAGGCTAGACCTTCATATTCCAATTATTTTATTTTCTAACATTCCTGGATAGTGATATTATTATAAGGCCGTTATCTAAGTCTAGGTCGGCCTTATAAATGCCGAGGGCTTTCTTCTTTCCGCCAGAGTCAACTTAACAATGTCAGTTAAGCTTGTGACTTTGTTGCTGCTCCAAACCGCAATAGCTGTCCTGGCGGGCGTTCGCCCGTTCAATGAGATCTTCAGACAACCTCCGCGCCTCGATGGTCGCATTGTTGGTGGTCAACCTATAAACATAACAGATGCTCCATACCAAATTTTTTTAATAACTCCGGAAATTTATTGCGGCGCTGTCCTGATCTCGAAGGAGTGGATACTAACGGCAGCGCATTGCACCTGGTAAGTCGTTCCGGCAGCATATTTTAATTTCAGAAATTATCCCCTATTTTTTCTACTCCAGGGAAGTTGAAGCCAATTCTATACTCGTGTTGTTAGGCACCACTAAAATCTCCCAAAATATGCAGCTGCAAAAAATCAAAAAGAAAGTTGAACACGAAAAGTACAACTATCCACGTCCCGATTATGATTTTTCGTTGCTGCAGCTGCAGGAACCAATTGAATTCGATGAGACCAAGCAGGCTGTCAAGCTGCCGAGGCAGGGTCAAGATTTTAAGGACGGCGAAATGTGTTTTGTAAGCGGCTGGGGCGAGACACGGAATTCTAATGAGTCAGAGGAGTGGTTGCGACAGGTGAAGGTGCCGCTATTTAACCAGGAGGAGTGCAACAAGATATACGGTCAATTCATCGCTGTGACAGATAGCATGATCTGTGCTGGCTATTCGGAAGGAGGCAAGGATTCCTGTA